ACCACTTTCATTTCTTATATATATATATATATATATATTGTTACGAATTTGGATACATGCAAATAATTTTAGTGAAGTTATATTTAAAACTTTATTATCTTTTGTATAATGTGATATGAAAATCTGTAGAGGCAAAGCTTTGCCCCAAAAAATAAAATACAGGAGGAAGTCTATTTAACATTAAGTAAATGGCTATCTCACTAAATTGGCGAGATATCCCAAGCTGACGATGATTTTGGCGACTAATGTTTGTCGCCAAACTAGGCGAGAAATCTCGAAAAACGTTTCGAGACCACTTTCATTTCTTATATTATATATATATATATATATTGTTACGAATTTGGATACATGCAAATAATTTTAGTGAAGTTATATTTAAAACTTTATTATCTTTTGTATAATGTGATATGAAAATCTGTAGAGGCAAAGCTTTGCCCCAAAAAATAAAATACAGGAGGAAGTCTATTTAACATTAAGTAAATGGCTATCTCACTAAATTGGCGAGATATCCCAAGCTGACGATAGTTTTGGCGACTAATGTTTGTCGCCAAACTAGGCGAGAAATCTCGAAAAACGTTTCGAGACCACTTTCATTTCTTATATTATATATATATATATATATATTGTTACGAATTTGGATACATGCAAATAATTTTAGTGAAGTTATATTTAAAACTTTATTATCTTTTGTATAATGTGATATGAAAATCTGTAGAGGCAAAGCTTTGCCCCAAAAAATAAAATACAGGAGGAAGTCTATTTAACATTAAGTAAATGGCTATCTCACTAAATTGGCGAGATATCCCAAGCTGACGATGGTTTTGGCGACTAATGTTTGTCGCCAAACTAGGCGAGAAATCTCGAAAAAACGTTTCGAGACCACTTTCATTTCTTATATATATATATATATATATTGTTACGAATTTGGATACATGCAAATAATTTTAGTGAAGTTATATTTAAAACTTTATTATCTTTTGTATAATGTGATATGAAATCTGTAGAGGCAAAGCTTTGCCCCAAAAATAAAATACAGGAGGAAGTCTATTTAACATTAAGTAAATGGCTATCTCACTAAATTGGCGAGATATCCCAAGCTGACGATGGTTTGGGCGACTAATGTTTGTCGCCAAACTAGGCGAGAAATCTCGAAAACGTTTCGAGACCACTTTCATTTCTTATATTATATATATATATATATATTGTTACGAATTTGGATACATGCAAATAATTTTAGTGAAGTTATATTTAAAACTTTATTATCTTTTGTATAATGTGATATGAAAATCTGTAGAGGCAAAGCTTTGCCCCAAAAATAAAATACAGGAGGAAGTCTATTTAACATTAAGTAAATGGCTATCTCACTAAATTGGCGAGATCCCAAGCTGACGATGGTTTTGGCGACTAATGTTTGTCGCCAAACTAGGCGAGAAATCTCGAAAAACGTTTCGAGGACCACTTTCATTTCTTATATTATATATATATATATATATTGTTACGAATTGGATACATGCAAATAATTTTAGTGAAGTTATATTTAAAACTTTATTATCTTTTGTATAATGTGATATGAAAATCTGTAGAGGCAAAAGCTTTGCCCCAAAAATAAAATACAGGAGGAAGTCTATTTAACATTGAAGTAAATGACTGTCTCGCTAAATTGGCGAAGATATTGCCAAGCTGTGGCGACAAGTTTTGGCGACTAATGTTTGTCGCCAAACTAGGCGAGAAATCTCGAAAAACGTTTCGAGACCACTTTGGACTAAACTTGGCGACAGTTTGGTCCAGTCCGTGTATAACTGTAATTGTTCCTCTGTGTAACTGTATCCGGCTCTCATATGCATTCCAATAATTTCCAGAAGTTGAGGGTACTAGAGATTTCTCGGCGGCCGGTGGTGGACTATATAAGACCAGAGAGATCATCAGTTTCTCAGTAATTATTTAGTTCAGCGTGAGTTCAAAGCATTGAGATATCTCCGTGTTATCTTTGCTCTTTAGATGTGCTTTGTATTGCGTTGTATTAAGCGTTCTATATAGCTTAAAGTGTAATAATTGATTGTATTCTGTGATATTGTGAAGAGCTGTACGAGTGCTTTTGTGGAAAGTTCCAGAACTGTAAAGTGTTTCTTTTAGTAAAAATAAATTTTAGCAAGCTGTTACCTGTTCTGCGTGCAGTCAATCTAATACGAATACATACGCACGTAACAAATATATATATATATATAAAATATAGTATTTTAATAAGATTATATAATAACGGAATTGAGTAAGATTATCTGAGTTAGAAAGATTTCTCTCTTTGAACATGCATGTTGTATATGTTTTAACAGTGAAACTGGAAGGCATGTGCTCTAGGAAAGGGGAAAAAATGAAAATAATTGTACAGTTAACTTCTTTTCCTTGAAAGAAAGTCCAAAATAAATAATAGGAATTAAAATCAGATATGTTTACCATAACAATACGTAAAAACCAATAGGCAGAAAGTTTTTGCTAAGAGGTAGACAACGGATTTCCTTGTACCGAATACATAATAAAACAGAAGGCGTCATTAAGACCTGTTTAGATAAACAGACAATATTTTAACTAATATTTAGGAAACCTAATAGTTATGTAAGGCATTATACATCTCCCTTTCAGGTGCATAATCTTATTTTCCTTGATATACAACACTGCAGTAATACTCATCTCTAATAAATTAAAGGTTTGAAGATATTTCTAAAATTTACTGTTATGTGCCAAAATTTGTAAATGCAAAGCAGAGATAAAAATTGTTCGTCTCTTATATAAAAATGCGTGAAAAGTAATAAAATTTATACACATTGTTGTCTCAAAGTGCAATAAAAATGTAAAAGATTTCGTTATAAAGTTTTATAAAAATATTTTTGTAAAGTTTATAGTAATTAGATTTTGATTACATAAAACTAATAACAAAATGTTCTGAGAAAGCCTTTTTTGAAACTTCACTTCAGCAGAAAAACCTTCTCTGTTGGTTTTTAATAAATAAAATTCGCCACTCTTGTAAACTATGTTATCATTATATTCATGCTCAAGTAAATTCGTCGGCTAATGCTAGTGGATAAAGAACACTCCTGCAGTACTTACGAAAATAGCGTTTAATCAGCATTAAACAGAAATTCTAACTCTGCCAAAGAGAACAAACTAGTAATATTACGCGCCTAAATTAAAGCAATGCTATGGTAAAAAGCAGGAGATATCCCCCCCCCGCGTCGTTCTACAAGGCAAGAATTTACAAACAATCAGATAAGTTAACTCTTTGGGTTTCATCGTGGATGATAAACTATGAACTATTTCTCAAAATTAAATTACATAAGATCTCTAGATCGATGAAGTCAGCTGCGCCTGCCTGGGCTGTATAATGATGGACGCTGACCGTTTGATATTTCGCTGAAGTGCAGCATATTGCACTTCATGGTGCTTCAATGTGGGACATAAATATGTAAAGTAATTTATAATTTTTTCGATGTCAGTAAACTGAAGAAATCGACGATACCCTCGCCGGGAATCGAAATACGAACTTCCCGAATACGCGCCGAGCGTGCTTCCAATTCAAGAAACTGCGCCACGTGCTTCAAGAAAGCATGCGGAAAAAGAAAGAAAATATCTTATAAGTAGAATTATAAAATGAGGAAATTTCTAGACTCTGCATATAGACAATTCCTTCTAAGCATCTGTCGGGGATACCGAACATCCTCGACTATGCACTTGCAAGAATTCCACCGCTGCGCATGACAGTATAATATGAAAGCACTCCAATTCGAGTATTAAGGGAAAACGTCGTAGCATGGAACACTCGTTTGCTGGCATGAGCTATGAGCGGATTTTATCTAATCTTTCATACCATCCTACCGAATTTGACATAAATATCATCTAAAACCCTGCAATCACACTGGATACCAAGGGAATCTATACTTATGGATTTGAAGGAGAGCAACACATTGGTAGTGGCTACTGTGTTACGTATCGTGACATAACAGAAACGTTCTGGGATGAACTATCAGCCCTCAAAGCCGCCTTAGACTTCTCCTAAAGCCGCTACAGAAACATTTCTGCTTCTAGTCCGCAAGCCATCATGCTAATAAGTTAGACGACAGAAGCAAAAATGGCTTCTCAATAAATATCCAGGGACAACTCATTGAAGTTACAGTTAGCCTTAGATGAAAACTTGATTGGGTTCTGGCTGACAGAAGAATCGCTTAGATATGTAAATGCTGACATCATCGCAAAAAGAGCAGCCACCGAGCCTCAAGCAAGTACCTAGATGTGCCACTTCCTGGCTCGAACCTAAAAGCCATACATGTATGCTGTGAAAGCCGGCCGCACATGAAGCTGCACATTTATGCTGTGAAAACATTTTACTGCCATAAAGTTCCAAAGAGCTTATTGAGACATAGGAAAACCCAACAGCGGCCCAGCGGAAAAGTCGATGAACCCTAGTAGTTCGAGCTTTGGTTTGATTCCATGCCAACAGGTTTGCTGCGGGGGTGTTTTCTCGGTTTTCTGTATGTATTAGGTGGATAAGAGCCAGTTTTACTCTTAGTTAGGCAGCCCACGGATGCTTTGCCGTAATCAAATCAAATAAACTAAACGAGATGTACGATAATAAAAATTTTCTTTTATGAAAATTTATTGATTTATTAGTATGGTGAATATTTAGCGTTTTCTCAGCGTTTTAAGATAAACCATAACGGAAAATTTTGTAATACTTTGCATCTCTTTTTTTCTGATAATGGTATCGCATGCAAACAAACGAAAGACAGAATACAAGCATGAAAAATTTCTTCAAAACAGGTAATTAGCAACGTAGATATTTTCCGTTAAACTTTAACTTTTTTTACTTTTCCGTTTCATTAGACATCGCTTTGGTTGTCAAAATAAAAATTGAGATTGATTTTTGTCTAATTAACCTAATTTCACCCCTCGAATAACCATATAAAAGCATCTGAGGCACCACTGATGGACATACTTCTCATCGAAGCATCATGGCAGGATTAAAGGTGAGTTTCCAATCTTGCTTTGTTTTCTCACTTTTCCTGAGACATGTAGAGTAAGATAGAAAATTGGTTTTAACGAAACATCTAGTAATTCTCAAAAACATATTTGGCTCTCTTCTTAAGTAATAGTTACGAAGAAAACTACATTAAACTAGTATTTTAATAATGTAATAAACTCAACTAATAATGAAACAGATCAAATGAAATATTGTATTTTTCTTTTTGGATAACATTGTGAATAATAAAGAAGCTAACATCTGGAAGTCCGTACAGAGTTAATCATTTTCTAATTAATCAGTTCTGCCGTAATTAGTTTCTGATTGATTATTCAATCCTAGCCAAGCACTCGACAGCTATCTGTCTTAGAGCATGTACCATCTTGGAAGATAGCTTAAGAAAAATAGGCTGCTATTGACGATGGAAGTGCAGAAAGTTAAAAAAAATCATGCATCCAATCCATGCAGTCGAAAGAAATCTAACTGCTATTTGTTCAAATATGTTATCAAATTTCATTATTCACCTGGTCATGACTAACTTTCAGTTTTCCAGTAACGGAAGTGTCTAATGTCAGTTAATTCGGCTTAAAAACTGTTCATTTGATTTTTAAAAATCCGTAAAAATTCTCTCAAATAACTTTCTTTCCTTTAAGCAGCTTCTTTCGATCTATATATATATTACTCTAAATATACGTCCTTATGTTCTTCAGATTTTATTACATAAACCTGGAAAAATTGGAGTAACTAGAAAATTTACATAATAAGTAAATGCTAAATACTGGAGTAAATACAAAACGTACGTAATAAGTAAGTATTAAAAGCTGTAGTAAATATGAAAATTACGTTATACGTAAATACTAAAAACTGGAGTAAATATAAAATGTATATAATAAGTAAATACTTTAGAGTCATTTGCATTACTTTCACTTCCTTCTCACTCCCATCAAAATTGCGGGGTGAAGTTTCTCCCTCTCTTTCTCATGCCCGTGATATATCCCGGTTGGAGTGTTTAAAAGAAACGCCCCAAAAGGATTTAAAAAATCCATTCTTAACTTCTAATTGTCGATTTTTTTTTTTGAAAAATTAAATTTTCTTCATTTAGAGGGTAAAAAAAAATCCAAACGTTCATTGACATATTTTTAAACAATTCTTTTGAATAAAAAAAGTAGGCGCTTTTTATACTGTTTCCTTGAAAATTATGCGATCGTTAAAGGGTTAAAGAAACTGCCTTAAAAAAGAAACAATTTTTAGAACTTTAGTAATGGTTATTTCATTTCTGATAATTATTGTTGAAGTAACTCTGTTCCTTTCAGTTATTTAACAACAAACCTATATTCCAGACGAGCGCACCAATGAACAAGCAGATAAGATCAAATACTAGTAGTTCATTCCGTGACACAACCCGCCGAATAGACTAGTGGCAGTGACACTATCGAAATTTCCTCCTTGTCATGAATACAAGACAGTTACACTTAGAAAGTACGCCACGAAGGCATTCCTTCCTTTAGACAGATATCCTTAACGTGCTTTTTTATAATGTAGTTCATACAGTCCCATTTCGGCGGCACTTCGTTACTACAAATTATTTTTAGATTAATATGCCTTGCTAACCACCCACAGGGCAAGCAACGTTTACAATTTCTCGAATGTTTTGTTGGTTCTGCTGGAAAAAGATTTTGAAAAAGAGGTTTTGCACTACAGACTACTAAACAAAAAGGCTGTCATCCCAGTTGGAGTTGATAGACAAAGCAAATTAGCGATGCGTACCTGTTTATTTGGCACAGACAGACTAAACATTTTTTTTTCTTTCGCCTAGTAATGAATTATATTTATTAAAGGCTCTTATTCATATGAATTTCCGAAGTCACGTTTTGGAGAAGTAGAGATAGATCTTTGAAAATATCAACAAAAGGAAATGTGTACCATAGAGGCAAAAACATAATTCTTTTCAGATCTATTTTACTTTTTTAGGTCTTGTATCTTGCAATTTTGCAGTGTTCTTGCCTATTGCATCTCGTAACACTCGGTTAAACTGAAAGCAACTAGAATGGACAAGACCATTTTCAAAAGGTTTTTGATCTCAAATGCGATCATGTTCATAGGATTAATCAGAGTAGGGGATGATAATCCTACTGACTACATAACAAAACAGATCCGCAACTAGTCACACTAGCACCATTTGTATCTAAGAAAGCAAATGACAAACAGATATAGAAATAATCACAGTTATATTTTATCGCTATTTATGCGAGCATTAGGAGCTCTAATTTCAAGTGAGCATTAGGAGATTCGCATTTTATTTTCAGGAGCATAGATGTAACATAATAGCCGATTATTGTCTTTAAATGGCTTAGGTGATCAGGTTACTTAATACGGGCGTCAGAACCGTCCGATCCCGTGTGTAGCAATTTCTTAACCAACAATAACGACATTCTGTGACTAATGATAATTGATAAATGATAAATAAATTTTTAAAACAAATATCCAAAATAAATAATATTACTTTAAACTATTATAAGAGTTTTATAAATGCTTAATTAAAGCGTATTTTTATTTCTGCTGAATAAAGAAACCCAATTACCTTTGTATTGAAAGTTTTGAAATAATTCCTCAGTTCCTAAATAATTGGCGAAAATTGTTTAGTCCAACCATAACTTCAAGTACATCACATTAAACTGTATCATAAAGTTTTCACTGAAAATTATAAAGGAATTATGGTTTCTTCTCCTTTACTTTTGTCTTAGGCTAAAATCGTTCTGTTGTTTTATGTATGCCTCTCATTAAATTTCGAAGTGTTAAACAAGGTTTCAAATCAGTCACTAGTTTTCATATATAAAACATAAAAAATATGTTCTATATAAGGATATATAATTTCTACTATTTGGATTATAGAATAGTAATTCATAATTTTTCGTACAATATTTTGTTGTTAAACTATTTTATTTAGTTTGTTATTCAGTTATGTTTTCTTTATATGACTTACGAACTTATCATTATATGACTGAACTTATTATATGATATTATTAATTAAGAGTAGGCTGAATCCCATGTAAACAAAGTAGAGATTCGTAAAAACATATTACATGATTTATGTAAATAAAGTAGTGATACATAAGAAAGATGCTTAATTTAATTTTCGTTTTTCAGATATGGGCTTCGTGTACAATACTGAGCTGCTTAATTCTCACTGTCTCTGAAGGATTTATCCACGGAGGAGGTAATGGTGGAGGTGGAGGTGGCGGCGGAGGCTACGGAGGAGGTAATGGTGGAAGTGGAGGTGGCGGCGGAGGCTACGGAGGAGGTAATGGTGGAAGTGGAGGTGGCGGCGGAGGCTACGGAGGAGGTAATGGGGGAGGTGGCGGTGGAGGAGGTGGAAGCCCTATCTTCCTTGCAATACCCATTAAATCTAATGGCGGAGGTAATGGAGGAGGCGGTTACGGTGGTAATGGAGGAGGAAGTGAAGGAGGAGGATACGGGGGAGGAGGCAACGGAGGTGGAGGAGGATACGGTGGTAACGGAGGGGGAGGGGGTTATGGAGGCAACGGAGGAGGAGGAAATGGTGGATTTGGTGAGTATCTTTAAATAATCACATTAAATAAAAAGTCCATGTGTTACTGTCATAATGAATATCAAGAATATTCTTTTTATTTTCTCTGAAGCTATTTACAGAGAGCTAAATTTATTGAAAACACTCACCTATTGTATGACAAAATTTTTTTACACTTTTCCTGTTTCAAAAGAAGCATTTATTCAAATTTTCAAAATTAATAAGCATTTCAGTCCTCACCCTTCAAATCTGAGTATTCTGTTCTAAAAATTTCACCCAGTATTATATAAAAAAGGAGTTTGCTTGGACAATACGAAAAAGGCTAAAATAGCATAAATATTAAATGTCTCATCAGCTGCTAATTTCTTGAAAATGAATTCTGTAATATAATAGACCTGCTGTAAATATGTCTCATCTAACGCAACATTATTTTAAGAGTACTATGTTATTGTTCTTCCGCATAAAACTAATAAATTATATTTTAACAACAAGCCTCTTAATTCCTTGCGACAAAAACTGAAAATTACACATGCTAGCACATTTATTTATTAAGTAAATATAATTGTTACTAATATAATAAATCTAATTGGTAAAAATAATAAGGTTGTTTTACTTGTAGGTGGCGGAAATGGAAAAGGAGGAAGTGGTGGAATAGCCATTATCGGTCTTAGCCTCACCAGCCTTAATGGAGGAAATGGCGGTGGTTACGGCGGAAATGGAGGAGGAGGAGGTGGTGGTGGTGTCCATGGTGGTGGAAATGGCGGTGGAGGTGGATATGGTGGTGGAAATGGCGGTGGAGGTGGATCTGGATCTGGAATGGGATATGGATCAGGTAGTGGCTCTGGAACTGGAAAAGGTTCTGGAGGTGGAGGAGGCGGTGGAGGCGGTAAAGGCGGCGGAAATGGTGGCAACGGAGGGTACTGGTGAGCTGTTTCAGGTATTTTACTTAGTGCTATCATATTTTCTCTTAGCTAAATACGCTGACTCATCTGATTATTTACCCATATGGTATAAATCTGATCAAGGATTCGAAATATCCTCACTAGTCTGTTTCTATGAGAAGGAATAAAAAAATATTCAGTACATAAAAAAGTCAAATATTATCGGTAATTTACTTGCATATGTAAATTTGCAAATCAACAGTTTTTATTTGATAGTTCTCTTTCATCTACTTAGAAAAGTTTTTCAAGCCTTTTAAAAATTTCTGTTTTATTATATTTATTTCCCGTATTACAATAATCGGGAAAAAAAGAATAAAAATAAATTTTAATTATAAAATTTTGAAAATATATGCGTTAATTACAGTAACTGAGCTTATTCATCAAATTTGAGTTGTATTATTTAAAATAATTTGTTGCACTATTAGCATTACACAATATATTGACCATAGTAGTACATCATTAGATTGTGCGCAGAAAATGATATTCCAATTTTAATCTATTAATTCCTTAAAGTTTATATGACACTTTTTATTTTGCAGTGGAATTTGAAATTAGATAATAGAAATAAACGTTAGGTAAAATATCTTAATTATTAATGCATTCAACCCTTTAGGTATGTATGTATTTACAGAAGTTTGAGTATTTTTATTGTAATAGGTAGTGCTGTCTTAGTTAGGATTCACTCAGAGCTTGAAGATCTGGATTGGGATTCAATAAGTACTCTCTATTTGATACACAAGGAGTCCGAGAAACATTTTGGTCTCACACACATTCAGTGAATACTAATTATACCAAATATTTTTGAAAGAATCTGGAATACTTTGTTTAACAGCTCGATTCATAGACAAATTGAAGAGGATAAACCTCTTCCTTTGTAATCTATTCAGCCTTTTCAGCAGTTAATTTCATGAGAAAAAAATCAAACGAAAATAGTGTTGCTTAAGGCAACAATTATTAAATGGAATGAATGTTCGATTAATTGAAAGTTTAAATATATGACAGACAATTTAAGAAAATTACAATGGACAATTTATATTTCCTTTGAAATGGAATTTCAGTAAATGGTTTGTATATTTTGTCTCAGGCTTAAAATTAAGGCATATTTTTAGGTGATTCTTCTGTAATGAGAGACAAACTACTTCTAATGAGAACGTCGATAAAACTGCATTCCATACGGTAACGCAAGATGAAGTAGAATGAGAAATACGATATAAATACAATACGGATAGGAAATATTTAAGAAATTTCGAAAAGACCTTTTCTTATCCTCCAAATTTTGTTGAATTAAATCAATCTTCTTTTTTTATTTCTGAGTACTAGAAAGAAAAGTAAGAAATCCTTGATAAAATATACTTCACTCTTTATTAATAATAGTTCATTCCGTTGATTATTTTTTATATTTGCTACATAATACATTTATTATTATACTGCTACATTTGATATCGTATTTTTTCTTAGAATTTTCTTATGGCAGAGTTTGTATTCAGACTTGATATTTTTGCCTCAATTAGGATTTAACATGAATATTCCCAGGTCTTACTAATTTCAGTAAACCTGAGAAATTCTAATACTTCTTAATTTTCTTCGATCCATCAATGCTACAAAAACGTAGTGAACATTCTTAATTCTTTTTCAGGAGAATAGGTCCTACTATAAGAAACCCATAAGAACGAATAATTATAATTCGCAGATTAAAAAAATTATTCGAAAAGATATCATTTTTTTAAATTTAATTTTTCAGCTTTCGTATAATTTATATGACTTCCTTTTGCAGAAAACTTTACTTCATTTTGGTAATCTATAACCGTAACTTTTTAAAACATTTCTGGTTTTTTATATGCACCATAAGTTGAGCATTCTAATTTAATAAGATAAATCAATACATTTTCCCTTCTACGCTGAACTTGTACTAGACATTTATGTTTGTAAAATACTTTATATGTCATGTCAGTTAAAACAATTGTCGAGAATTTTTATTTTCAGAATAAAGTCATCATGAAGAAGAATTCCTGCTTTCGAACAGCATTCCATTATTATTCGAATCATTTCACCTCAGTCTGAAAAACTAACCCCTGAGAAAAGGTCAAGAGCAAACAAATATGGGAAAAGCTGCTTATCATTGTCCGATTTCAACATTCCCTGTAAATTCATGCGCAATAAAATATCATTTGTAGATTGTGATTCTATTCTTTTTTTTAAAGCGTCGTAAGCTATTAGAAACAACCCTGTTATAAAAAATTATTATTATATGCAATTTAGCATAATAAATCCAGAATAAAACTGTGTATTGTAATCATATATCGATTGATGAAGCAAACCTTTTTATTTAGATTGAAGCAAAATAACGATAAAACGTTTGTCAAAATGTTAAAAATTTAGTATTATTAGGAAATGTTAACATAATCAAAGTTTAATAGACACCTAATTTTGATAGAAAATAATAGATATGAGGTTGGTTAAGAAATTAGAAGACTGGAATTTGTAAATTACAAAGATTACATTTTTTTCATTCGAAATAGATAATTTCAGCATATTAAACAACTCGAAAATTATGTGTTTTTCAAGAAAAGAAATATTTAAAAAAATTCCTGAATTAACATTTGACTGTAAAATCTTTTGCATTAATTACAGATATATTTTCGTAGCTTCAAAGTATAAATGTATACTGTGATTGTCAACGGAGGGTTACAAAATTCTGAGGATCCAATCTACATTTTTGCTTTTCAATTTGGGTTTTCCTTTAATAGTACGATCTTATTTATTGCTTATTACAAATAGGGTTATTTACGGTGACTGATTGTGAATACTTAATTCTATTTAATCTATGAGCATATATTCAGACTGTAAGGAATTTACTTATTGTATTTTGTAGCGTTAGCAGCTTGTAAAATGAATGGATTTTCTCTAGCTGAACTAGCTTACGAGCATGGAATATTGTTTTCTTCAGTAGGATGGATATGTTTATAATCTGCTGCTTTCATACGATCCATGATTTCTACTAAACAGCCTTCTTTATGTTAAAGGAAATGTTATGAATCCCCACCCATGTTTCACAGATCTATTCTGACAATTTAGATTAAATTTCGAACATACAGGAATTCTAAAAGAGATGTCATCACATCAGATATTTCAAACTCGTTCGTCTGAAACAGACGAGCGAAGTGAAGCAAGACTGGGAAACGTTCGAGTAAGCACTTCTCGATCCAGACGATCACTTTACGCTGATTTAAATCTTGGTACATTCCATTACGATGCTAATTATGGTGACAGTCTTCGTACAAGTCTGGTCATTGGAAAGATGGATAAATTATGCATGTCCTGCAAAGCCTCAAATTTAAGAAAGAAGCACCAGGAATTTGCTGTGCGGGTGGAAAAGTGAAATTGCAAGAATTAAATCCACCACCCGAACCATTATCAGCCTTGTTATCAAATGGCACACGCCAATCGAAACATGCAAAATGAAGAAAAAATATCATATGAGAATTCAAACACAAACACTTTCTTTCCTTTAAGTACCATTGCAACGCATGTCGGATAGCAACTAGTAAGAAATCGAACGTAATTTCAGTATAATTATTTAATAAAAATGATTGTTACAAAAGATTTGCTAAAGCATACCCATGTTCCCAAATGGGAAAATTACACAGGTAAATCACAAAGCCGTACTTCAAGCTGTCTGAAAGAACAAGCATCTTTAGATCAAAACTAATAGTATTCTGAAATACTTCTCTTTACAAGGAATAGAAGTCCTTGCTCCATGAGATGAAACAAGACTAAACGTATGACTGGTTGAACTTCCTGTATCGCCATTAGAGGCTTAACAGGGTTTAGTGGAGCTATTTAATTAAAGAAACATTGAGATCTAAAAACAAGACCTAAATCAGGCCCATTAAGCAGTAGAACTACCACCTTACTACCTGAAATAACTTAAAATAGAATAAACAACTAAAATATGAACTTAAAGTCTAGGAGCTGGTGAGATTATCAAGCTACACCAACAAAAGCACATTATTACATACTTTGTAAAATATAACACCTGTTATTTGCAAGCATAAAAATATGTTACTTACATATACAAAGAAATAGAATAACAG